ACACATAAATAGGTTAGAATTTATTTAATGATTAAAAAATAAATTTACTGTTTATATAGGAAAATAATAGTTTTAAGATGGTAATATTACATAACTATGCGTGTACGATGTTGCCATATAATTTGAAAAGTTAAATAATCTTTATAAATAGAAAAAATTAATTAAATTTTCTAAAAAATAAAAAAAATAACTTGCTTACAAAAAAAACTATTTGGGGATTTTTGTTTCACAAAGTTATTTAGCAGGAATTTCAAGAATAAACAATAAAAAAAATTATATTTCTGATAATTACAAAAATAAATAAATTAAAATTACTAAAAATAAAAAAAATTAAATTAAACTTTTTGAAAAATAAAGAAATAACTTGCTTAAAAAAATAAAACTATTTTAGCGAGTGTTATTTCAGTATAAAATTATTTAGTATGAATAAAATACTATGCTGGCCAATTTATTTAAAAATTAAACATGTTTGAATATTAAAAATGAAAAAATTTCATAATAAAAAAAAGATTTAATAGATATGCTGAAAACTAAAATAAATTACTTGCTTATTAAAATAAAGCGATTTTAAAGAATTTTATTTGAGTAAAAAAAAATTTGCAAAACACTGATACAGTTATTTATCTTATAAAAATTTTAAATTCGAAATAAATGAAGTTTTGGAAATTCTTTTGGGTGTTTTTGATACAGAAAAAAAATTAAAATTATCGTATTCACTGGCTTCCATTACCTTATAACTTAAGAAGATATTTACCATAAAAATTTGGCAAAAAAAAAATTCTATTTAGAAAATTTTACACCGGAAAAGTATAAATACTTTGACAGCTCTATTCATTTAACTAAATATAAGTGCCACAATTAATAATTATTAAAAACCTTAAAATTTTATAAAAAAATTTTCTATGAATTTCGTTAGAGTTTCTTTATTCAAATGTTCTGAAATTTAAAAATTTTTTAAATAAATATTTATGTATTAATTTATAAATTTTTTTTTAGAAGTTAACTGCAAACATATGTAAAGCTGAGTCTCAAAAGCACTGGGAAACTCGATAAAAAAAAAGACAAAAAAAACAAAAAAACTAAGTTTAAAAGCTGTTTCATTATGTTTTTGACATATAATTATTAAATAAAAATTTCAACAAATTAGTCATACACATGTAAATTATTATTACTGCTTTTGTAGCTGTATCAATAAAAACCAGTTTGCTGTAATTAAGCGCGGGAGTTTGATTATTATTCGGCTTCGACTCAATTTTTCACAATTTTTCCACTCAAAAGCATAAATAATGAGTGTATAATAGACATAAATTCATATACCATATACAATACATATATACATATATTATATTGTATTTGTATTTGAAGTAGTATAGTATTCTTGACGACTGCACGTGGTCACATGCAAATGATGTTTAGATAACATTATTTATTCATTTATGCAGTTTTTTTCTATTATTGCTAGTTTAAATTATTTGTTTATTTTAATTTTTTTCTTCAAATTATGCTCGCATTTATTTGAAGTGTTAATATTTATGTATTATAAATTAAATGCGTCTTAATTAAATATTTAAATTTTCACCTGCTTATCAGCGTAATTATAAAATCATAAATTTCATTATTAATCAGTGGCAACGTAAACAAGCATGGCAACAGTTCATTCGACAAGAAAGACAACTTTTTCCATGTAAATGTTTTAAAATGCATTGAATCGCCGCTGCATAAATTAAATAATAAATCATTATAATTTTTTTTTTGTTTTTGTAAATTGAAAACATTACCTTTTAAGCACACTTTTATGCGTTGAAATGATAATTGCTCGTCTTAATGAGAACAATTGCTCAAAACCTTGCTAAACTTAAACAGGCGCCAAATGAGTTAGCGTCGGAGCAAATTTGATTAGTTGGTATATACATAAATACAAAAGATCTAGCGTTACTATTAGAGGGTCTATATAGCTATTTTAGCGGTGAACGATATTTCTACATATTCTCAGACGAAATTTTGTCCATAACCTCAAATAATATAAGAGAGAGCGCTTTTAAGTTTACATGATGATTAGAACTACGAGATGGCTTTTAAATGTTGCAGATAGTTTACTAAAGAGTTAGAAAGAGAGAGAAAAGTATCGAAAATTAAACTGCGTGTATTAAAGGACCAAGTGATGATATCAAATGATTTTTAATGTTTTGGCACAATAAACCATTTCTCAAATATAAGAGTTCTCAAACTCTATATGAGGTCGTGCGGGTGAACAGATATGACAACAAACAGTTGAGGGGAATGTATAAAATTTTCTCCGAGCGAAGCTGATCAAAATACCTTCCACTTTTCTTCAATAGAGAATAGTTTCTAGGTAGTGTACCTTCGCAGCAAGTTTATATTACTCTCTTTGGTAAGTTTCGTGTCTTAAGTTTAAGAATCCACCGCAAAACAAGCAATTTTTTTATCTATATTTTTTGGCAAAATCTCAGAAAATTTTTAACAATATTAAAAGAATCTTGGTAGTATATATAATTTACTAGAATGCCTGTAGTCTAGCTTCAAACTGGGTTAGCAAAAATAACTCTCATAAATGTTCGTCATAAAAATGGAAATATCTAAGAAAAAATATTTTATCGATTCGATTTGCGCGTGCGGTTTATATAGACCAGTCTGGCATTAAATTAAATCTGAATACCAGTTCATACTGCAAATATTATTTATTTATTCTTTAGCATCGATATAAATATTTCGAACACCAATCAACCCGTCGATCACTCAATCAATCATCAAACCGATCTCACTTTATTTAGACACTTTCTTAGCCTAGATCGACCAAGTTCGAAAACAAACCAGATACCTACGCCGACAATTTACAAAAACAAATAATTAAAAAATATATGTAAAATAAATATCTGTATATATATGTATTTATAAAGTAATATTAGAAATATTATATAATAAATATATAGATACATATACATACTTATAAAAACTGTGTCTAATTGAAATCTGCACGTCAACTCTACATTAGAGAGATTGAGCTCGAAAATTCGGCGATCATTAATTTTGACATGAAAACAAAAACTTAAACTGATTTATTGCGGGAGTGCGGGCGTTTGACAAAGAAGTGTATAAATTATTAAATAGCTGTAAATAAATAAGGCCGAATAGCTAATGGATATGGAGTAGAACGTGTAGCACGCATTTCCAATTCGAAACAATTGACAGAGGGATAGCGGAAACAATAGAAAAAGGAACACAAAAAATAAATAAAACAAAAGGAGTGATTTATATACACATACAAGTAAATTTATGTATATATATGTAAGTAAATATGTATATTTGTTGCTGTTGTTGTCTGTAGCTGTATGTGAAATTGCGAAAGGGTTCAAAAGTGTTTGGCAAATATTGACAACGGCACAAGTCACACGCCGTTGGCAACCGAACAATGGCTACTGACAAGCGGACAGACAGACAGCAAATACAACAACCAACAGCAGTAGTATTTGTGATTGTCGAGACAATGCGCAAGCGCTTGTTTTCGCAAATATCTAAATTTCAAATCTGCGCGCAGAAGCCAATGACTTTTCGAGTTTTTTTGTCGCCACTTTGAACTAGAAATGCCAAGCTGTGGATTTTTTCTAAAATTTTTGCTGAGCTCATGCGTTGAAGGTATTCACGAAACCGCTGAAATGTCTAAGCTGCACTTGAAGGACTAAACGCTGGAAATCAACGAGTTCTGGTAATTTGAAAAATACATTTTTTTAGAAAATGATAACCAAAACTCTTCCTTATGTCCATACATGAGTATATGTAAGCTTATAGGCATATATGTACTTGTATGTTTATTCGTACGTTTATACGGTTTTTGCGCAGCAACTATTTTTTTTCCACTGAGTTACCTACTTCCATTGAAATTCGAAACTGGATTTATTTTATTGTGTAGCAAAAATAAATTCTAAATTCCAAAACTGGTTTGTTTTCATTTCAAGCGCGTTCAACGCTGTATGTTTCGTAGTACGGTTTTGGTGTTGTTGTTCTAGTTTATTAGAAGGGCTCAAACTGGAAGGCATGTCAAAGTTTTAATTCAGTACCGTGAATAAATAGTTTGTACGAGTACAACAACAGCAAAAAAACGACTAAAAGCAACAAGCATAAAATAGTCCACGTTATAAATTAATGAATAATAAAGGCATAATAGACAATATGGAAGATAATAACAAAAACATTACATTTCTACTCGTATATACAAGTACATAGCTATTCAAATTCCTCTATACATACATATTCATATAGTGTATCAACCATATATTTTTATTGTTAGTATAAAATTTTTAATAAATAAAAAATATTTTAATTAACGAATCTCATTTATAGCAAATTACATTTGTAATAAAATTTTTTGCTGGTAAATGAAGTAATAAATTCATATTTCATGGTTCGTTAAACTACGAAATCGTTGAAATCACAAAAAGCATTGATGATTATGTGTTATAAAATAATTAAATTGATGAGAGAGTGCAATAAACCTGGGCTAATTGGCATGAAATAAAATAAAATTTTCAATAAAAAAAATTACAGAAAATCGAAAAAATACACACAAAAAATTGTTTTTAAGTTTGAGTTTGTCGTGAGAAAACGTAGTAATATCAATCGATGTGAAAAAAAGAATATAAATATTAGGAGAGCGCTGTAAAAAATATAAAAGAGAGGGCTTTAAGTCATAAAAGCCAAAATTACGAAATTTTATAATTTTTTTTTTTTAATAATTTATTCCCAGCGCATATTCACTTAAAAATATGAATAAAAAATCATTACTGAGTATCCGGCGCAGAAAAAATTCAAGACCATAATACCCGAGTGTCAATTTTCGGATTTTTTATCATCATTTTTCATACCAAAACCATACCAAGGGCTGACAGACACATGAGGGCGAGATGGAATGCCTTGGGTGCATGCAGAAACGCCAAGTTCATGTGCAAGAGCAACGTCGAAAAACTCGCATGCTTTTTACTCACACAGTCTCGAAAGGACTGCCGGACGGTTGTTGGCCTCTTGACAGGTCGCAATCTACTGGCATCACATGCGAGGAGCCGGATGGGTGTAAATAACGACGATAAATGCAGAAAGTGTCGAGAAGTAGGCTTGAGAGCGACGCTTTTTTTTTTTAGAAAAAACACAGTTCAATTAACCGTTACACTTCAAACTATTTTTAATCACTCAACAGCACTCATTTTTGCAACCAATAAATAAAACTAAAAACTTTGTAAATTAAATTTTTTTATTAAATTTTGGATACTTTTTTATTAGAAATTTTCTAGTTTTAACAATTAAATTTTTTTTAATTTATTAATTTTAATTTTTTAAGTCGTTGGTTTCGAAATATTTCTTACTTTAACATTTTGGAAATAATAACTGTAAGTTAAAACGTCTGCTTACTTATTAATACACTTGATAAACAGTAATGAAATACAACAAACACATGCGTGCAATACGGTCGGTAGCAAAAAGTCAACTGAGTTGCATTTAATTACAACAAGTTTTAAAATATTTCTGGAAATCTAATTGAGCGGTGTTCCCCGAACTTACGCTACATCAGCTTGTAACTGGCTCTCAGAACTATAAATAACTGTATATAAATAATTTTATTTACACAGAACCAAATCAGTAGATGAATATTACTCACCGAGCTCGCGTCGACCAGAAGGTTAATTGGGTGGTTTTATAGAATATAAATCATTTCAGGAAGTGCAAATGTGTGTATATGTGTAGATAACGTAATATGTGCCACCTACACATATGTTGTCATGTGTTTATTGTAATTATTGATGAAGATGACGCAGGCATTAAGATATTTTTATTTTTTCTTAAAAAGTTTTAAAAAAATTGTACAACAAAGTACCCTAATAAGGTAGCTATAGTAATGCACACACGCATATATCTTGTTATCAGCTGTCGCCTGCGTCGTCACAAGCCGTTCTTTTGCCGCAAAGCTTTGCCTTTAAATGCCTCCAACTTTAATTAACTATGACTAATCGTTGACTAATTGCTGCACCACACAGCCAATTGGCCTTTGAAGGCATTTGGAAATTTATTTACATATGCAACTGCACATATACATATTTACATGAAAGCGTGTAAGTGTACGTGCGTTAATTTGCATGAGCATGCACTTTCGAACATTTTGATACAAGTAAGCAGTTACCAGTTGGTGCCTAAGAGCTCGCACGTTGGCAAAAGTGTGCCACACGACGCCGCAGGCATAACGATACATACATACATATATACCCACATACATTTGGTTTTGGGGCGTTTCCGAGCATAAATTTGTGGCAAAAGGCAACAAAAGTTGTAGCAAACTGAATTATATTCATACTGTGCACACACAATTGCATATGAGCGCCTAAGCAAAAGTGGCGCCACGAGCTAAACCCTCATTTCATTTAGTTATCGCGTTTGTGGTGGCTTTGCTGCAAGGAAATTTAGCGTTAAAAATTCTAAATAATAAATGTTCAAGCAATTTCGTATTTAATTGAGTTAGGTCAGTGCGTTATTAATTGATAAGAGCAATTAAAATATTTTAGCGTGTGTGCAATGCAGCTAGGCGGTAGAAAGTTAGCATTTTTAGCAATTGTTGTTAGCGAGTAGCGTTTGTGGTGCGGTGAGAAGTGCTTTGAATAAATATTTTTGATCTTTGTACATTTATCTTCAGATAATTAATTTAATAAACAATTGCAGAGTGGCACAAAAAAGCACTTACTTTTTATAACATTCTTTCATGAAAAGGTGAAATATTTTTATAAAAATAAAAATTTATGAAAACAAATGCTCTTCGAATAAAGTAAGGATATCTGCATAAATGAAAAATTTTTTTTTTTTATTTGTTAAGTTTTTTTCTTAATTAATATTTTTATGAGTATATTTTTTTTTATTAATATGTTTTATTTCTTAATATTTTTTTTTATTTTACTTCTATAACGAACAAATTTGTTTTGTTTTTCTGATTTGTAATTTATTTATTTTATTTATTATTATCTTTTTTTTGAATAAGCTTACGGTCTCTTTATAACTTTTTTTATTAATTAATTATTTATACCACTTAATTTTTATACTCTCGCAACCTGTTGCTACAGAGTATAATAGTTTTGTTCACCTAACGGTTGTTTGTATCACCTAAAACTAATCGCGTTAGATATAGGGTTATATATATATAAATGATCAGGATGAAGAGACGAGTTGAAATCCGGGTGACTGTCCGTCCGTCCGTGCAAGCTCTAACTTGAGTAAAAATTGAGATATCTTTATGAAACTTGGTAGACATGTTTCATGGTACCGTGAGACGGTTGGTATTGCAGATGGGCGTAATCGGACCACTGCCACGCCCACAAAACGCCATTAATCAAAAACAAATAACTTGCCATAACTAAGCTCCGCAATAAGATACAAGACTGTTATTTGGTACACAGGATCACATTAGGGAGGGGCATCTGCAGTTAAAATTTTTTTTTTAAAAGTTGGCGTGGTCCCGCCTCTAATAGGTTTAATGTGCATATCTCCTAAACCGCTAATGCTATAATAACAAAATTCACTAGAAGCAAATGTTTTTAGCACTTCTATTGACGGTGTGAAAATAGTTGAAATCGGGTGGCAACTCTGCCCACTCCCCTTATAACGGTACTGTTAAAAACTACTAAAAGCGCGATAAATCAAGCACTAAACACGCCAGAGACATTAAATTTTATCTCTGAGATGGTATAAATTGGCTTTATAGGAACCGCGTTCAAAATTAGTCAGTGGGCGTGGCACAGCCCACTTTTAGGTGAAAACCCATATCTTGAGATCTGCTTAACCGATTTCAACCAAATTCGGTGCATAACGTTCTTTTCATGTTTCTATGTCATAGTGCGAAAATGGGCGAAATCGGACTACAACCACGCTTACTTCCCATGTAAGACCATTTCCAATTCCATCTGATTCTTTCACTTTCCACTATGCAAATCAGGTAACAATGATTATATCGGGGTAAAACTTTGTGCGAATAATGCAATTAAAGTATGCCACCTTGCGGCCACAAATTGTCTAAATCGAACCAAAACTGTTCAAGCCTCTAAGTACTAAATATGTGGGCCCCAGTGCCTATAGTTGACCTTCTACCGAAAATATCAGTCAATCCACAAAGAAATCTCAAACGAGTATACCATTTGACTTTGCGAGAGTATAAAATGTTCGGTTACATCCGAACTTAGCCCTTCCTTACTTGTTTTAATTAATTTTTTTAGTTAATTTTTTTAATAACTAATTATTTTTATTATTTTTTTTTATTAATTGATTTTTGTACTAATTAACTTTTTCTTTTTAATCTTTTTTTTTTTGTTTTTTAGTTAAAACTAGTTTTTATTTCAATTGAATTTTGTTAATAATTTTTTAAATCTCGCATAATTTTGTTTCTTAGAAAAATACGTCAAAAAAATTTATAAAATTAAATTTTATATAATATTTTTTTTTTTGTTTAACAAATCTGCATAAATATAAATTTAGAATATTAAAATTTTTTATTATAACTTAAACTTTTTAAAAAATCTTTTTTTAAATATTTTTAAATTTTTTTAAACTTTTGAGTCTATTTCTTTTAAAATTAAAACAACTTAAAAAAAAAAATTTATGGAATATATTTTTAATTTGTAAAAAAATGTTATTATATTTTTACTAATTACATATTCAGGTCTCTCTCTGTGTACATACGTGCATATGTACATTAGTGCGGGTCTAAACCCGATTTTATACCCCTATTCTCTTAGACAAAGTTGTTCAGAATGATCCATCAAATATTTCACGCATATGCGATTTTTCCGTTTTTTAGGCTCGTTGTAAATCTACTAAATATATTTGTGTTCAAAATAAGCCCAAATGTCTTATGCTTGCGAGGACCAGTCCGGATCAAATTTAATTATGAGTATATAAGCGTCGAGCAAATAAGACACCATAATATAAGAAGAAGAATGAATATTTTATTTTAAAAATTCAAAATTGAAATCCCGAAAATTCGATAATTTTTTCTCAAATTTCACAATTGAAATCCCGAAAATTCGGGATTCATCTCGCGGTCCCGTTGGATTTAGGGACTTAAAATAAACTATTTATTTTTCTTTTAAAATTATTTTAAAATAGTTTATTTCCACTAATTGCAAGATTTTATAGGAAATTTTTGGCAATTTCGCCAAAAAATACTTCATTAATTTTTATTTTTTTTCTGAATGCTTTTAAAATCAATAAGGAAGTTTATAATTTTTAGTTTTTTTTTTATTTAAATTTAAATTTTAAGAAGAACACAAAATGTTGAATTGCCGTTTTCATATTATTATTTATGTAAAATTCCTTTAAATATTCCTGTTTCAGTTTTCTGTTAATTAAGCTAAGCGTTTTAAAATAGTCAAGGTCAAAAAAATTCTCAAATATTTCTTTTTTTATCACTCTACCTCTTTCGTAAGCTTATAAAATTTATTACGCAACAGTTTTATTTAAATTATGACCCCTAAAGCTATGATCCATCTAAAGTAATTAAGAAAGATATGCATCTAAACTATTTTTTCTATGTATGATACATATATATGCATATAAGCAAGTATGCATACGTTTGCGTATGCTTATATGTATGGTATAGAGATGTACTCTTGATTTGTAAGTCCGGACTGATTGACTGATATGTATGCCATGACAATGACAATAAATTATAATAACAAATTAGGCGAATGTGTGCTTGAATCTTTTACGTATAGTATGTATGTATGTGTGGGTATATTAGCGTAAAAAATACAAGTATTTATATGCAAAAACAAATAGCAACTCACGTCATGCATATTAGCTGTCAATTGTCAGACGTCGCTCAGTAAATTGAAAAACGTCAACATATGCGGATAATAGATGCTGCGCGACTCTACAGCGGCAAATCTTTGCTAACTGAAAAAAAAAATTTAGAAAAAAAAAATTTCTCCAATAAAGCTCTCGATTTTGTCCCACTGTACCCTGTTGCGAGTGCATTACTACAGATCGATGAGAAATTTAATTGATAAATGGCTTGGGATCATGTCTCTGTATAAATTAACTTAGCACTTGCATTGGACTAGCGGTTACGCATACTTATGATTGTAGCGTGCAAGCAAATGAACTCAAAAATGAACGATTGTAAATAATGTTCATAAATTAGTATTGTAAAAAATTACGTCAGCCACCTTGAAAGTCAACGGTCACACTTATTTAAGCGCATGAGCAATGATATCAAAATAAATACTCATATAAGCATTTATTTGTCACATACACGAGCATATGAGCATAAATAAGTGCCAGCGCCACGCTAACCACAGACACCGATTAATAATGAAATAATACGAAATAAAGTAAAATTAATGTGAAATGCCGTATTTGCTATAAAAATATAAATGTAACGTAATAATAAACATGTGAGTTTATTTGTAGCGCATGAAATCACTACGCATGCGCGCTGTCGTTTTACAGCCACTAACAAACTGACCCAATCAAGCATAAATATAAACTGGTTGGGCGCTCGAACGCGACGCTCTGTTCAAAACGGAGCAAATCTACGCTTAACTTCAACTGATCTTCGGTTGTTATTCCCGAAGAAGCACGTGGCTGAAATGGTTTTATTAGTGTTGCTTGCTTTTAAAGCAACTAGCATTGCAAGCGTTGACATCATTGACAGCATAGCACACACAAACAACACTGTCGGTGTGCTGCCTTTCGCAACGCCACCCAATAAGTTCGGCCAATTAAAAGTTTTGTGGCTCATTTGGAACGAGTTTCGGCGGTCATCGCTTGTCTTCCAGTGCGGGTACTGTGGCTGCTGCTCTGCTGCCCGTGAGCAAGGTCAATGCTACCGATCAAGCACACACACTTACATACGCGGTGCGCGCGGCGGAAAACGTTACAGTCAGTAAGCGTAAATTGGAAATTAAAATAAAAGTAATAACAACAATAATTAAAATACAATATCTTTCATTGTGCTCGTTG